GGAATGATTGTTAGCTGCTGTGTGAGTGCTAGAAATTGAACCAAGGTCCTTTGCAAGAGCAGTAGATGCTCTTAACTGCTGAGCCATCTCTCCAGTCACAATAATTAACTTTAAAAAAATATATTTTACTTATTATTTTTATTTTATGTGTATGAGTGTATGTGAGTGAACCCGTGTTGTGCAGTGCTGCAGAAGTCAGAAGAGGGCTTTAGATTATACATTTTTTTTCTTTTTGAGACAGGGTCTCTGTGTAGCCCTAGCTGGCCTGGAACTCACTATGTAGACCAGGCTGGCCTTGAACTCACTCACAGAGATCCGCCTGCCTCTGCCTCCCAAGTGCTGGGATTAAAGGCATGCGCCACCATGCATCGCTGGATTATATTTTTTAAAGAAAGAAAAAAACATATTCTTCATCCATGACTACCTTATTGTCTACCTAGGCCTATGTTCATAATGAAAAAGCTGGTGTTGGAATATAGTATGATTGTATGTACGCATCAGTCAAGTACAAGATGAAGCACTTCTTAATAGGAAGTCACTATTATTTACTGAATTTGAAACTTAATTTTCTTTTTAAAAATAAGTATTGGTGTACACGTTGCAAAAGTTAAAAGGATGTAGATGTTTATATATCAAGACATCTTGCTCCTGTCCATGCGTATCTTTTTTTTTTTTGGTCTTTTGAGACAGGGTCTCCCTGTAGCCCCAGCTGGCCTGGAACTTATTATGTAGACCTGGCTGGCCTTGAACTCACAGAGATACACCTGCCTTTGCCTTCCAAGTGCTGGGACTAAAGGTGTGTGCCCAACTCGTCCATGTGTATCTTATCTCCACTTCCCAAGTCCACCTGCTATAAGTCACCATTCATATATTTTTTGTCTGTCTTTCCAGTTTTACAAATGTAAGCAAAACTGTATTTCCCTTTCCCTTACTGTCTCATCTCCCAAATCAAAAGATAAAAGACTATTCTTTCACCTGTAGTATCAGGGAGATTTTTCCATACTACTCCATGTACAGTGTGCCAGTCAGCATTCTGTCACTATAGCAAAATATCTAACCAGCTTATAAAAACAAAAGAGGTTTTGCAGGTGGTTCCACTCTATGATGATTACCCACATTACTTTGGGCTTAGGGTAAAGCAGTATACCATGACAGAAGCATGTGGTAGAACAAAAATGCTTACTTCAGCAGGGTATGGTGTCACCCACCCTTAGTCCCAGCACGTGATAGGCAGAGGCAGGCAGATCTCTCAGAGTTCCAGGCCAGCCTGCTCTACATAACAAGTTCTAGGCCAGCAGGGCTACATAGTGAGACCCTGTCTCAAAAAGAAAAATAAATAAATGATCACTTTTCAAGCCAGGGAATAAAAGCTAGAGGAAAGGGCCAGGATCCCACAGTCACTTTGCAGGATATACTCCCATGATCTAAAGACCTCCCATTTCTACAATTCTTAATTGATTTCTACAATTTTTTTAATTATTTTTATTTTATGTGTATGTGTGTATTGCCTGCATGTAGGTAACTGCACCCGTGTTGTGCAATGCCTGCGGAGGACAGAAGAGAATGTCGGATCCCCTAGAACTGGAGTTACAAAGAGTTGTTAGCTGCCATATGGGTGCTGGGATTCAAACCCAGGTCTTCTGCAAGAACAGCCAATGTTCCTAACCACTGAGCCATCTCTCCAGCCCCTGGTTCTACAATTTCTTAGTGGCTCTACCAGCATTAACACTTTTGGGTCTTTGGGGTTTATTCATGATCCAGATGATAGCATAGGGGCCATACCATTCTTCTATATATGGGTACTTTGTTTATTGATAAATCTTCTGCTATTGCAAATAACAGAGCAGTCATAACCTTATATATGTTATTTTATTTGTTTGCAGTTATATCTGTGGTATTCTACTCCAAGAAATGGGATTGATGCATATTAAGTTGAATAAATAGGCTTTTTAGTTTGATAAACATTAAAGGAACACCATATTTTTTTAATGACAAATCTAGTATTAGCATTTAGTAGTAGTAGACTTTTGCATGTAGTCATGAGCTATAGTTCTATAGTCACTATAGTTGATACTCTTCACTGTTTTTGATCAGATTATTCATCTCATTAAATAGTATTAGAGTCCCCTCTGACTGCCTTTGCACCATTAATGTGATATAATTATGCCATTGTGTAATGAAACTAGATAAATTTTGAAGACTATGACCTACATTCTTAGCAATATAGTTATAGGTTGCTTCATCCCTTAAGCACTAGAAAAGAGTCTTTGAAGCTGATGACAGCAGGGTACCATAAGAGCCCTGTGGTATAAGAGGTAGAGCAGCATAGAACCATGGTAGACAGAGCCCAAATCAACTATGGCTTGTTTGCAGCAGGCAGAGGTACAGTTCCAGCTCTTGTTTTCTGATTTTTCATTGTGGAACTAGTTAGGATTTGTTTGGTAAGTATGGCTCAAGAATTGATCGTTTTATAGAGGCTAGAGAGATGGCTCAGCAGTTAAAAGCAATGTCTGCTCTTGCAGAAGATCCAGGTTTGATTCCTAGCACCCCAGCACCCACATGATAGCTCACAACCATCCATCATTTCAGTTCCAGGGGAATCCAACTCCACCTTCTGACCTCCACGGGCATTGCATGACACAGGTGCTCTTACATACATGCAGGCAATATACTCATACACATAAGATAAAAATTTTTTTAATTGGTCATTTTATAAAATGCTGTGTCAAATTAGGGAAAGGGGACTGAAGAGATGACTCAGCAGTTAAGAACCATGGTTGCTTTTGCAGAGGACCAAATCCCAGCGCCCACGTGGTAGCTCACAACCCTCCATAACTCCAGTTCCAGGGAATCCAACACCCTCTTCTGGTATCCCCAGGTTTGCACAGACATGGTGCACTTACATATGTGCAAACAAAACACTCATACACATAAAACAAAAGTAAATAAATTTTTTTAAAAAGGAAAAGAACACTGAAATGTGTTGTGTGCATCTGCTTAAGTGCAGTAACTGAGGCTTGAATGGGAGCCAGGCATGGCGACTTGCACTAGCAGCTCCAGCTTCTCTGGATGATGCTCAGGCAGTGAGGATCATTTGAGTCTAGGAGTTCAAGGCCAATCTGGGCAACATAAGTAATTCTTCCTCTGAGCTTATCTAATGGAGTAACACTTTGGGGATAGACTAGGGATCAGATTTTTTTTTTTTTTTCTTTTGGTCTTTTTGAAACAGGGTCTCCCTGTAGCCCCAGCTGTTCTGGAACTCACTATGTATACCAGGCTGGCCTTGAACTCACAGAGAATCCACCTGCCTCTGTCTCCCAAGTGCTGGGATTAAAGGCATGAGCCACCATGCCCAGCTGGGATCAGATGGTTTTTACAATACATTGCGTAGTGACTTTCTAATTTCACATTCCTTTTGTCTGAAATCACTTTGTTCTTTGTTATAAAACCAACTTCTCACCTGAAGTTCGTGTTATATTTCCTCAATCCTCAGAGATATACCCATACAGTACTTAACAGTGGGATACATTCTGAGAGGTGCATTGTTGGACCTTTTTGCTGTTCTGCAAACATGTAGAGTGCACTTACACGAGCTAAGATGACTATAATATCACTGAGTGATACAGTTGTGTAGGACCATCATTGTATATGTGGTTGTCATTGACCAAAACATTGTTAGAGCAGCACATGACTGACTTACATGTATTCAGAATGAAGCTGGAATGGTTTTCCTAACTCCATAAGCAACCACACAAACTATCTAGAATCTTAAAAAGAGATGCTAAACCAGGTGCCATGGTACATACCTGTAATGCTAGAACTGGGGAGGGTGAAGATAGAAAATCATGAGTTTTAAGACCAGTGTTGACTGTACAGTGAGTTCAAAGCTAGCCTAGGCACCATACTAAGACCCTGTGGTCCCTATCTCCCCTCCAAAAAGAGAAAGGGAGGGAGAAGGAGGGAAATGATAGTAAACCACATTTGGATCTGGAGTGTTACCTTTTGTGAGAGGTCTAATTAGAGGTGAGTTGTTGTGTTTTTGACCCTAGTTGTTCTTGTATAAGAATGTCTATTTAGAGCCAGGTGTGGTGGTGCATGCCTTTTAATCCCAGCACTCAAGAGTTAGAGACAGGCAGATCCCTGTGAAATTGAAGCCAGCCTGGTTTGTGTAGCTATAGGGAGACCCTGTCTCAAAAAAGCAAACAAACCCAAGAGGTAGAAGCAGGAAGATCACTGCAAAATTGAGGCCAGCTTAGTCTACACAGTAAATTCTAGAGCAGGGATGTATAGCAAGACTGTCTCAATTTTTTTTTTTTTTAACACCTGGTTTTGTTTTTTTGACACAGGGTCTCCCTATAGCCCCAGCTGTCCTGGAACTTGCTATGTAGACCAGACTGGCCTTGAACTCACAGAGATCCACCTGCCTCTGCCTCCCGAGTACTGGGATTAATGGCTACTTATACACTTATGTGTATAAGTGTTTTGCCTGTGTGTACATAAGTGTGCCCATGCATGCAGTGCCCATGGAGATCAGAAAAGGGCATCAGATTCCCTGAACTGGAGTTACAGGTGATTGTTAACTGCCATATGGGTGATAAGAACCAAACGCAGGTCCTCTGCAAGCACAGTCAGCGCTCTTAACTGCTGAGCCATCTCTCCAACCCTCCTGTCTCAAATTCTTAAAAGGTGTACTTGGAAGACTTGGGCTTATTTTCATAAGATACAGTAATATTAATCACTTGCTTGTGTGCTAGGCATTGTGTTTAGCATGCACCATCCTGCTTTCCTTATTACAGTGAGAATGACGATGTTTTAAAAATCCCTATTTTTTCTGAATTGTTTAAAAGTCTTACTTTATGAGTATGTGTGAGTGCCTATATGTATGTATGTACACTTTTAAGCACAAAGTATTCAAAATTTTTGTTAGTTCTGCAACTGAAACAAGTTAACAAAATACCTTGAATTAATTTTTTTCTTTCAAATCTTTCCCACACCTGCAGCGTACCAGTAATGTTCGATCCACATTTTTCAAAGACTGTTTATATGAAGTATTTGATGACTTGGAGTCAAAGATGGAAGATTCTGGAAAACAACTCCTGCAGTCCATTCTCCATCTGATGGAAAATGGAGCCCTAGTATTAACTACAAATTTTGATAATCTCCTTGAACTCTATGCAGCAGACCAGGGAAAACAGCTTGAATCCCTTGACCTTTCTGATGAAAAAAAGGTAAAATGTTAAGTAGCTGTTTCTTCTTCAGGGTACTGGGCTGTGTCTTTAATCCCAGCACTTGGGAGGCAGAGGCAAGCTGATCTCTGTGAGTTTGAGGCCAGCCTGGTCTACCTAGTGAGTTCCAGGACAGCTGGAACTATAGGGAGACCCTGTCTCAAAAAAAGATCCCCCCAAAAGAAAAGCTGTTTTCTGGTTAGTATATTGGTATTTATGTAGCCGAAGTGAATTGCTTTTCACATTCTAATACCTGACAGAAGCAACATCAGGGAGGAAAGGACTTATTTGGGGTCACTGTTTAGGCTGTCACAGTGAGAGAAGCGTGGTGGAGAGGCTTCCTTCATGACTGTAGGAGCTTGCAGGAGAATTCTCATCGTGGAGGAACAAAAAGCACAGAGTGGATGGAGCAGGATCAGGACCAGGCTATAACTTCAAAGACATGCGCCTAGTAATCTACTTCCATATGTAAGCTGCACTTCCTGAAGGTTCCACAGCCTCCCAAAATAGCACCACCAGTTGGGGACCAGCCTTCAAATTTTGAGCCAGTAGGAATATTTTACATAAAAACCGTAACAATGAGAAACGAACCCTCTTTTCCCTGCTTGTACTTTTGGAGTTGGTCGGCTGGTTTTTGAGGTAAAAATCAGTATACAGTAAAAATGCAAAGGTTTTAAAAGTTTTGACTATTGACAGTTTTTCCTGGTTTTAAAAGCCGTGGTGGCACACGCCTTTAATCCCCGCACTTGGGAGGCAGAGGCAGGCGGATCTCTGAGTTCAAGGCCAGCCTGGTCTACACAGTGAGTTCCAGGACAGCTGGGGCTACAGGGAGACCC